GTCAACAACAACAGTCTCAGACAGGTCCAAGAATTCAAGTACCCCGGAAGTATATTCACAGATGATGGGCGACTGAGCTGAGAATTTGAAACACGAGCACAAAAGGCCAATAATGTTAGTTATCGACCAGCTTGCTCCACGACTGAAACATCCTAACATCCCCATGACAACAAAACTCAAAAGGATCAACACCATATACATGTATTACAGTCAACCGACAAAGCTTGAAGATACAACGTACACTGTTTTGTTGTGTTTTAAATAAAAAGCATAATAACTTCGTTTATTATAAGCTACATATTTTTTAATTTATTTTTTTAAAATCCGAAACTTTAAAAGCCAAACAACAACATGCATACTATGAAACGCATAATATATTTTATGTGTAATATACTGGGGCCTGTATATTTATGCAAATAAGTATTTTTGATTAGTGTAGAATGGTTCGAAATGTGCTGCAACGTTGCTTTGATTTGCTTGTGCAGGATATATATATATATACATTGTATGTCCACTACGTCCATTAAAGAGTTAACGACATACTTGTCCGAGATATTGTTAGTGTAAATGCCCAGCTCTGTCACGATGTGCAGTGCTTATAGTCTGTTTGACAATGCCTACATGAGAAATCTGGTCACTCATAGAAAGTTTTGAATATAATGTTGTTGTTTTTTGTACACGTGTACATGGTGCATGTATTTTCTTTAAGGGACTGTTTCATTTAAACGTGTGGAAGGTGTTCTTTCACGGGAGCACTAACTGCTACCGAAGGCACCGATAAAAGACAATGACAGGTGGTTAGAGTGTCACTGTTAAGAGGAAGGTCCAGCTTCTTTTCTTTCACTGTTTTGGTTTTTTGTTGCTTTTGTTGTTGTTTTTTGGTCAGTCGATATCTGTCTTACAATTTCCCTGCAGAAAATGTTACCTATTTTACTCAGACAAACAAACCAACGAAATGTCTTATCCTTGAGAAATTATAAATTCTGAACAGAAAGACAAAGTCAGTTGTAAGGTCCTTGGGACAGCCCCATACACACAAGCACGCATGCATGCACCCCCACCCCCCACCCCTCTCTCACGACGCACACACAGATGATTACAAAGGCACAAGGACTCCCTTTTCCTCCCATGTCATTCTTCCCGACTCCTACAGGTGTAAGGATATTGGTTCGGTTTGGTTATCTTAATTCCGAGACTTTCAGGCTCTAAATAAATCCCAGTACGACGGTAAAGATAGGCTCCGTATTATAAATAGTCAAAAGAGAGAGTGAGAGAGGCGAGAGAGAGAGAGAGAGAGAGAGAGAGAGAGAGAGAGAGAGAGAGAGAGAGAGAGAAACCTGATTATGAAGTAATAGGTAAACAGTCCGGTTGTTTCTATAGCTCTTTGTAAGTCACGTCTTGAAGCAGGTGATGAAATAAAAATTGCATCATCAATTTCAGCTGAGCCGCATAATATTGATAACAATATGCGTACGGTAATACTGATCCACACTCTCCTGTATAGGTCAGCAGCAAGCGATGTCGGGCAAAATCAATACTATTAATATTATTGCTATTTGACCTCTACAGTGCGAATAGTGTCACCTTCTGTGCTACAGGACAACTCTCTTCCTCTTACTTACACACACGCGCGCGCACACAAACGCACACACACACACACACACACACACACACACACA